AGACAGCACATGACTATGACCAGCTTAAGGTATTTGGTTGCCCTGCATATTATCATGTTAGAACTGATAAGTTGGAACCTCGAGCTAGGAAGGCCATATTTGTAGGATTCAAGCGTGGTGTCAAGGGATACAAGCTTTGGGATCCAGTTGATAAGAAGATTGTGCTGAGTAGGGACGTCACATTCGATGAGGCTTCTATCTTGAAGCTTCCCAGCTCTCATCAGGTGGAGAGCAACCCGACAGAGGAGATTTCGCAGGTGGTGGAGATTGATGCAGCTCCACAGAGTCCAGATAGTGCAGTATCCATGAGAGTGCCGACTGAGGTGACGCCAGGCGAGCACGACGGTGATGCGGAGGATACGGGTACTCATGAGCAGGATCAGGGACCGACGGCTCAGGTTCAGGATTCTATTGCGGCACGGAGACAGAGGAGAGACATACGGGTGCCAGCACGGTATGCCGACACAGTTGCATATGCACTTCCGGTGGAGAGTATCGATGAGATGGTGCCTACTACATTCAGAGAGGCCGAGCAGAGTTCGGAGGCTGATTCGTGGCAGGTGGCTATGCAGGAGGAGATGGAGTCTCTTCACAAGAACGATACATGGGAGCTTGTAGAGCTTCCAAAGGGGCGGAAGGCGATTGGGTGCAAGTGGGTGTACACGAAGAAGGAGGGCATTGAGGGCACTCCAGTGAGGTTCAAGGCTAGGTTGGTTGCGAAGGGCTATGCACAGGAGGAAGGTATTGATTACAATGAGGTTTTCTCTCCGGTGGTGAAGCATTCGTCGATTCGGATTTTGCTAGCTTTGGTGGCACAGTATGGATTGGAGTTAGATCAGTTGGATGTGAAGACAGCATTTCTTCATGGTGATCTTGATGAAGAAATATATATGACTCAGCCATTGGGATTCCGAGCTGCAGGGAAAGATAAGTTGGTTTGCAGGCTAAAGAAATCGCTATACGGTTTGAAGCAGTCTCCTCGACAGTGGTATAGGCGATTTGATGGTTTTATGCTTGGTCATTCGTACACTCGGAGCCAGTTTGATCCTTGCGTGTATTTTCGCAAGTTGAGAGGAGGTGCGTACATTTATTTGTTGCTTTATGTCGATGACATGTTGGTTGCTTCTAGTTCCAGGTCAGCTATAGATGAGTTGAAAGTTCAGCTTTCGAATGAGTTTGAGATGAAGGACTTGGGCGAGGCGAAGCGCATTTTAGGGATGGAGATCGGCAGAGATAAGAAGAAGGGCAGGATTTGTTTGACACAGGTGGCTTATTTGAAGAAGGTTCTACAGCGATTCCATGTTAGCATGGATACGAAGCCAGTTTGTGTACCGTTGGGAGCCCATTTGAAGCTTTCAGCTGGCCTTTCACCGAAGTCAGTTGAAGACCGTGAGTTGATGACGAAGACTCCATATGCGAGCGCAGTTGGGAGCTTGATGTACGCGATGGTATGTACGAGGCCGGATTTGTCACAGGCAGTGAGCATGGTGTCGAGATACATGCACGATCCAGGAGTGGGTCATTGGGACGCCGTGAGATGGATTTTGAGGTACATTAGAGGTACGCTCAATGTTGGTTTGGTTTATGAGCGGGACACTACAGGTGGGCAGCTATGCATTGGCTATGTTGATTCGGATTATGCCGGGGATTTGGATAAGCGCCGGTCTACTACGGGGTATGTGTTCACTTTGACCCGTGCGCCGGTGTGTTGGAGATGCACCTTACAGTCTACGGTGGCTTTGTCTACGACGGAGGCAGAGTATATGGCGGTTACGGAGGCTGTGAAGGAGGCTATTTGGCTTCGAGGACTTTTGGAAGAACTTGGTATATCGCAGCGATCCGTCACTATTCATTGCGATAGCATGAGTGCTATATATTTGGCGAAGAATCAGGTTTTTCATGCGAGGACGAAGCACATTGACGTTCGTTATCACTTCGTTCGGGATGTTCTTGAAGATGGCGATGTGGAAATTGTGAAAGTCCACACGAAGGATAATCCGGCAGATATGCTCACTAAGGTGGTTCCGAGCAACAAGTTTGATCATTGTCGAAACTTGTTGCACATTCGTAATTGTTGAGGCCGTTGGCGGCCATTTGGATGAACTACGGGCGGCTTGATCCCTTGGGAGAGGGGGTACGTAGGCAACCGCATTGGTGCAGCCGAGTTTAGAGAGACGACACATTGGTGCTCATGTTGGTGTCGGCTCAGTGTTGGGAACACTTCGCCGAGGTGGAGAATTGTGAAAACGGCGAAGGAATTGTGAAAAACGTGAAGAATAACTCAAAACAGGCTCCACCACACCCTGGTGTGGTGTCTGCCATGGGTGTGGTAGAGTCTGTCCTGCACCACACCCTCTGCCACACCCACGGTGCAGGGTGTGGCAGAATCTGTCCTGCACCACTCCTGCACCACACCCTCTGCCACACCCATGGTGCAGGGTGTGGCAGACTCGTTTTTAGAATCCTTATTTGTTGAGGAATCCTCCTTTGTTTGGGATTGTGTTTTATTATAAATAGGACCACGTTTTTAGGGTTTCTAAAGGAGAGAAAAGAAGAGATTTAGCATTGTTTTGAGCACTTTGAGAGGGAGATATTGTGAGGGAGTTGAGAGCTTTGGTTAGGGTTATATTTGAGTGATTTTGTGAGTTGTAACCCGTTGTATTTCTCCTCCATATAGTGAAATCTCCCCATCCTCTCCCCGTGGACGTAGGCAATTGCCGAACCACGTATATCCTTGTGTTTGGTTTGATTTGTCGTAATTGGCTTGGTTTGTGCAAGTGTTTGGCTTTCTTCTACTCGTGATCACAGGTTCGTTGTGAGTTCGTGCAAGGCTTCCGCAAAGGCGCGCGACAAATTAATGACTGATTCCTTCACTGCAAAAATGTTGAATACTACAACTGTCATTTTGCAAAGAAGCTTGCCTTTAACCATTGACTGCTCAAATCTTGAATGCCTTGATCTCACAACTAATATTGTATCTCAATAATGACCACTTTGGTAAAAAGCCTGCTAAGAGTATGTTCCTTTTATCTAATAAGTTTGTTGTTGACTTCGATCTGTATATTATAAACTCAATTTCCACGCAGTGCTTTTCACCAATTAAAAAATATTGCTTACAATACTTTTGGTAGTATATATAATAGAATTTTTTTGGTAGTGTAATAAAACTGTTTTAACACTATGTATAGTTAGATATGGATCTTCTACAAGGACACGACTGTTAATTGCAAGAACAACAGCTTATGTACGTACATATATAGCAGTTCTGTAAAAGTCACCTTTGCAAATAGACTATAATGCTCATTGAAGAGGGAACAACGAGGTTCAGAAAATTGAACACGGAACAATTTGAAAGCTACATGGTCGATCGCGGGTGGCGCGACGGTCCGCGGACGTGCACAAGGAACAAGAAAGTCTCTGGACATTTGGCGGTCAACCGCGTCGACTGGCACGTTGGTCAACCGTGAGACCCCTGTAAGTTTTTTTGGGTTCTGTCGTTGGCCACGGTCGACCGCGACTGACGCGACGGTCGACCGCGGATCGGGTCTGGGCCTGAGTTTGGTTTCTTATTCTGTTTTGGGATTTGGTGTTTGGTATAAATATCAACACGTTTTAGGGTTCCTTTAGCTTTGATTAGGAATTGTTTTGGGGATATTGGATCATATTGATCACTTTTGAGGTAGCTTGAAGGAGAGTTTTGAGCACAGAAAAGAGAGTTCTTTTCTGAGCAAATTGTTTGAGGGTTTTGGTTTTGAGCACAGAAAAGAGAGTTCTTTTCTGAGCAAATTGTTTGAGGGTTTTGTGAGAGATTTGAGGGTTTTGTTTGAGAGGAGAGTTCTTTTCTGAGCAAATTGTTTGAGGGTTTTGTGAGAGATTTGAGGGTTTTGTTTGAGAGGTTACTTTGAGTGATCTTGTAATCTCTATTTTGTACTTTCTTTCTCTATAGTGAAAACATCTCCCCTTCTTGCCCCGTGGACGTAGGCAATTTGCCAAACCACGTTAAATTTTTTGTTTGAGTTTGTACCATTATCGTTTGGTTTGAGTTGTCTTCTCTCTCTCGGTGTTTGGTTTGGTTCCTTGGCGCACAACAAGTGGCTGCGGCGCACGACACTCATGTATATGTATATGAAACATGTAGTTGTGGTCTTTGCAGATAGACTAGTATGCTCACGCAAATGTCAGCTTCGTACGTAAACAGACTATATATATATGGAACATCCGTGTTCGTCCGTCTAATTTGATGCGGCTTATGAAGTAGCATCTATTTTTGAGACTACAGATTAGCCCATCACGTGCATCGCACGCGCCCATCTTACTGGTAAAGGCTAAAAGGTTGTCCAGCTCAGGGATCCAAAAGAGACGGCCTGCTTTACATATTTATCGAGATAATGGCTACTCAACCAACGTCGATATCTGGCAGTAGCTTATTTCCATAAATATATAAAATACGTAAAGTTGGTTGGAGCTAGCGACGAGCACAGACAGCCACGAGAAGTAAGAGGGATCCGGGGGAGAGGGACGGTGGCCCACGTACAACCCAAAGTAGGCAATTCCGGACCAAACAGATGGCATCTCAGGGGTGGAGCCTGTTGTACTCGCTGCTCCCACCCGCACCAATTAAAAGAAAAAAAGAAAAAAAAAGAAAAAAAGAGGGAGGCCGGGAAGAGACCGCGGCACATCGCTTCGCCCGCTCCGAACTTTCTCACACGTAGTAACTTGTGGTCGCGAGTCCACCCCGACCTCCAAATCCAAAGGAATCCCTCACCGGACCCCACGTCACTCGTAACAGCTTGACACGTAAGCCGAAACGCGTAGGAGGTCTCCAGAGCACGCGGGCCCCGCCCTCCCCCCACCGCAAATCCACATCTCACTGTCACTCACGTTATCAGTTATTAGAAACGAAGAAAAAACAAAAGGAAGGGAGGGGAGGGGAGGGGACTGTCACTCACGTTATCAGTTATTAGAAACGAAGAAAAAACAAAAGGAAGGGAGGGGAGGGGAGGGGAGGGGGAGGCGTAGGGAGACCGATCGAAGAGCACGGCGGCGCCCAACGAAAATAAAACCCTTCTTTCTTCTCTTTCTTTAATCGTTTGTTGTTAGTTTTTGAGAGGAAGAGAGGAGGGAGATGAGGAGTGGGGGGGAATAGAGAGAGAGATCAAGAGAGAAATCTATAATAATAAATAAAAAAAGATGCGAACAATATGCGATGTCTGCGAGAGTGCGGCTGCTGTGCTCTTCTGTGCTGCTGATGAGGCTGCCCTCTGCAGATCCTGCGATGACAAGGTCTCCCCTCCCTTCTGTCTCCGCTCCTTTTATTTATTTATTTATTTATTTATTTATCATCTATCTATCTATCTATTTATTTAACTTCTTCCTAACCTTTTTAGGCTTTTATCATCTCAATTTTGATAGTGTGTGTTTCCATGGTAATGCGAATTTTTTTTTTCCGCATATGTTTATCGATCGATCGATTGATTGATTGGGGAGATGTATCGATATGCTGCGAGTATAGAGTGTGATGTTTATGGATTAGGGAAAATACGAATGATGCTAAATTGTGCATAAAAATTGAATTATTTCCTCTATGGTATGTATTGGTGGGGTACCAAATCGTATAGAAAACTTGAATAATTTGGTAATTTCATTCCTTTTTGTAGATAATTACACGTTTTCTTTAAAAAAAAAATATAAATTACAAATTTCAGAGTTACGTATAACTGAAAGATTGGTAATATCAGCATGAATACGGCCATCTAGTGTGTTAACAAATTTCAGAGTTACGTATAACTGAAAGATTGGTAATATCAGCATGAATACGGCCATCTAGTGTGTTAAGATGGTAATCGATCTCTGGGAGCTGGAGGGCTCCAAATCTTAGGGGGGGATGAGTGTTGATAGTTTAGTCGATAATGAAGAGGGCCTGCCTAAAGTACCCATTTGGCTGAAGATAAACTTCAGTTTTTGTTTCTTCTATTTACGTGCCCTTCCCTTCGTATCATTGTTAATTTAAGGATGTAATGCTTGTTGTAGGGAGAAAAGTCAATGAATCACCTACACGTTGATTTTAGACGTTGTTAGTCTCCAGTGTTCTTTCACCAAGTCATAGGGCATAGTTCCCTGATACATCACTCTGTCACTCAACTTCTTTGTTGCCTATAGTGGGAACTAAATAAAAAAATATGTAGTGAAATCCTTCTAATTGGCAGGATAATTAGGTAAGCAGACGACAATAAGAAATTCATGTTGCTTGTGTTTACTAGGTTCCTTTTATCTGATTTTCGAGGATCCAGAATACTGGGATCATTTGGTTTTTGCGGTGAAAATGTTAATTGTTGTCTTCAGCTTAACATGTGTATCATATTTATCAGAATGTACTTGAGCATATGTTACTAGAGCGTCATCTATGCTTCCCCTTCCCGCAAATTTGGGTTTGTTTATGTCATGAGACCCCCATTGAGAGAGTTCTATCAAAATCTGACTATGTATTTGTAGCAAGCTATAAATTTGACATCAATTCTCTTGGTTGGTGCATCAAGTGTGTGGAAAATTATTGAATTCGGAAAGTAAGGCGGGGAAGTGATTGCTGTCAATTTTTGAAAGGGCCTTAATTTGCTAGGAACTGTATCTTAGTAGTTATATTTTTAGACTCATGCCGTATGTGAGCGCCGCCTCATTATTCTCCTTCACTTGAAAAGTCATCTTTAAATGTATAGTTATTCATTACAGATATATTATATGTGATATGCTAACAGCTCATGTTTATTGTATCTAGCCTGTACATGCTAGACCTCAATCCTTATTCCTGTTTGTGCCACAATCCTAATGGTGATTCCAAAATAGTAGTGTGCTAGGAAGGTGTCTGCTATGTATAGTTATTTTGAGCTGCTGATTTTAGCTTGCATTTTTTTGAAGAAACTGTAACAAAACTTCATATTTATCCATTCTTTAGGCAAGAAAAGTGTTAGGATAGGCGGCTCTTGAGTGTTTTACTTTCTCGGCTGTTATACATGCAGTTGCAAGAGCCACCACGAGCTTGAGTGTGCCGAACTAAGTATTATGCAGAGGGTAAGTACCATTTTGACTGTGCGAATTAGCTTACGCCTCAAGATAAATGCCACTCCCTATAGAAAAAGTGATCACATCAGCTTTTCTATTTGATTTTTTCCTGGACTCGGTTGGCTGAGAGGATCTTTTCTCGGTTGCGTTATAATGCTAAAGTTTTTGGTGCCATAAAATATGAACAATAGTTGAGTTGACTTTCAGACCAATTTCACCATGGGGTTTTTACGAGGGTTGGTCTTTTTGCTATAGTTACTATCCTCTAATTTATTTTCTAAACTGGAGGTTTGCAGGTCCACATGTGCAACAAACTCGCCAGCCGGCATGTTAGAGTAGGACTTGCTGACCCTAGTGAAGTTCCTCGCTGCGATATATGTGAAAATGCCCCTGGTATGCTTGTATGTCTTTTTTGTTCATTCTTTTTCTGGTTATTTTTAGTGAATTAAACTTCAACTTCAAATGTGCAGCTTTCTTCTATTGTGATATAGATGGAACTTCCCTGTGCTTGCAATGTGATATGATTGTGCATGTTGGAGGAAAAAGAACCCACGGAAGGTATCTCCTACTGAGGCAGAGGGTTGAGGTTCGTGTTTCCATTTTAACAAAATAAAACTTTCAGATGAGTGACCTGACATCTGTCGTTTGGATTTGCTGATTCAAGAAAAAAAATCTTATCTTAATCTAGTTTCACGGCGATAAGCAAGGCCATGTAGAAAATGTGGCCATGCAGTCCAACGAACAAGTAGAAAATAGAAAGGATCAGAATCATGTGGCAAAGCTCATGATGATAGAGAATATGCAAAATCACAAAGTACCAGCTGCAACTCCTTTAGATGTCAACGGTGATGATCACGGCAAGATTGACACAAAAATGATTGACCTTAACACAAGACCTTATCGGAATCTTGGGCAGGCTTCAAACTCTAGGGTATGCATGCTTTTTATTTTTCTTCTTTGTATATTTCTCCCTTCTATAGATCTTTAAAAAAGAAACAAAGTTGTTACAGGTGGATACTTATCTAATTATATTTGATAATTTTGGTCGGAAGCATAAAATTTATGATACCAATATTCATTTTTTTATCTCATGAATGAAGAGTCAGAGCATGGATTACCTGAGTGGGAGCAACAATAACGGTTCATGATTGGATCTTTCAGGAGAATTATCACAGAACAAACTTAGTAGTGAGGTACAATTCAATAATGGTGTAATGTACATTAACCCTTTATTCTGTTGTTTCATTATAGCAGTGATCGGAGTAACTGATCTGTCTTCTTTAATTTGGTTTTTATCGGACAATTGGCCTGCGGCTCAGATCTGCTTTAGAGGATTCTGTGTGACTTCTGTCCTTGTTGCCATGAAATTGTATTGTAATGCATTTCTTGTACAAAAGTTTGCAGTAAATTTCTGGCTTGTTTTAGATTTATATAGTTATTCCTACTAAATGCACTAATTCCAGTTTTCGGGTTTGTTGAGTTGCAGCTAGCTCGCATTTTTATATCCGTGATGTAGAACCTTTTGAGGTTGTGACGGTAGTCAAGGTTTCCTTTGTTGGTAGGCTGTAGGACGTTGGAAAGTCAGGATTTAATACGGTCTGCTTTCATCAGTATTTGATAGGGCATTTGATCAGCTTTTTGAGATGATCATTTCTTTTCCTTGTTCTTTTTTCTCTTGAACTTTCGCAGCTTTATTGCATATGCTCACAAGAAATTGGACATTCTACCGTAACAATAGTGCATTATCGTGGTGGGTTTGGCAACAACTCAAAATGTGGCAAGGATTGGTCCTGGCTCTAATCTGGGGAAGCTCTCAATTTTTCTTGGACCAAAAAAAAAAGGAAAAGATCACA